GACCTGTAAAGTTTTGTTCACACTGGTAATTTCTCACCTGCGGCCCAAAATGCGTACCCGGACCAGCTTGTTTGATTGTTTTTTTTTTCTCCAGATGCAACCGTCATGATATCCCACAGGCCCCAATGGGCTTTATCAGCCCTTTTGAACATGTTCAGACGCTCTCCGTCTTTCAGTCTTGCCCCCGGAATGCCTGCGTTTGGCCCAGTTCGCATTCTTCCCCCCAAACTGTATGGCAAAAATCTAGCTGCTCCTCAACCAAGTCCCGGTCCATATTTCACACACTATTATGGCTCTAGCTGGCACACAGATGGTGCTGGCCCAGTGCTATGGCTTGGTAAATTTGGAATATTTTGGCTGTATGGTGGAATCGTTGTGGTCCTTTTCTGCGCAGCGCGTGCTGCTGTCAGGCATTGGCGAAGCAAGTCAACCGCTAGCGAATCTCAGCTTGCATCTACCTGGTCTGCCGCCTCATCGCCTATCAAATCTCGTGGTTCTGCCGGCACGCTTTGGAAGCGTCGACTTATGAAAGTCAGAAGAGCTGAGGGAAGACTGGCCGACGTACTCTTGCTGCCCAGTCATTTGCTTGAAAAAGCCACGACTCACTCTTCAAAGCTTCCGTCTCGCTCGTTACGGGCTCATCATCAGAAGGATTGCATGCAATGTAAATCTTGTACAATCAATCAAGGGCTTCTCGATTCAAGCCACCAGCTTCCTCTCTATGAACCCCGCCCCTTGCATTGTCTAGCCTCTGGAAGAAGTACGCAATGATAGCTCTGTTCGATTCATCTCCGAGCGTTTTGCTTACTGTTACTACTGATTCTGCCACAGGACCCCAGCGAAAATCACCTCGGAACGACAGTGGTCCTGAGGACGAAGATTGGGAAGAAATTGACGAAGACACCGCGCTTCTTTCGTCCACCAGCACGTCAGATTTCCTGTCCAACCCAACGCCTGTATTGCTTCCTTCGACCCCCACATTCTATCGCAATCCCAACCTCCCCTCAACTGGATTTCCCTCTTTACGAGTCGAAGCAAATGAAGAAGTCGCCCCTGGACTTCCATCGCCTCTGCTCAACGCCATCTATCGATTGGCGGAGATGGCTGGTATTGTCAGTGAAAACGGTCAACGTAGTGACCTCACCTCCAACTTTCCTGCTCGTCCTGAAGACAATCCTTTTATTCGCAAGGTGGACTGAACCCCTCAACATCAGTCATTGAGTGAAGAGGGAAGCCGAGCAACATGGTTCCGATGTTTGCAACATTTTTGACTTGCCCGAGAGTAAAGTTTTCGTTATTTTTTATTGGCCTGTGTATGTACTGTAGTATTCCAAGAGAAGCAACGAATGGGGCCAAGGATATGATGTCAACAACTCAACCATGATTCTACCATGATTTCAGATTGAGAGAAACAATGCTCTTGACTACAAATCATTTTGTTCTTTATAATCCAAAAAACTCCTCAATTCTACTTATTTGTTTTGCTTTCTGAAATAATCATGAGACATTCCATCAATTCATCCTTACCTGCTCAAGAACCAAGACTTTAACTATGGCTTTGCCCAACTATTTCAAACACACTTCTCATCTTTTTACTGGCAACATCGCCATCATTGTTTTTAATTTAATTTTTTGTTTCGAGTTTTTTAATTCATATTGAAATGATTCATCGAGTTTTACCATGCATTGAACATGTGGTCATTGATTGTTTGACCAGCTTTGAATATTAACTTAATCCAATGATTTAAACCCTTTGTGTTCATATTTCACCGTCATCAGTAATATGGCATGTGTGGATTTTGATGCTGGTAGCAATTACGTTGAATTGTTCACTTGAGTGTTTGTGCCTTAATGCTAGCATAAAAGCATAGAGATTGCACTTCCGATGGATTGAGAAGAGGAAATTGTTATGATCCTACTTTCTGGTCGGTGTGTCTTGGATCCACACAAGGGCACACGAACTCAACTCCACTCTGGAGACACGAGCTCCACTCAACCACACCTCCACCCAACCCAAACACCCACCAAAACAAAAAACGAACCACTCAGACACTCACCAACCCGCTGTAGAAACGTCTCGTCGATCGAAGGGCCAAAAACGACCGCCGAATAACGCTGATTCCGGTAGACTGTACAATCGTTTTTGCAATCGACAGGCGTAAGGAGATCAGGTCAGTTTTTTTTCCTGAATGTTTTTTTCTAAAAAGAGGTTCCGATACTGACCCTCTTCTGTTCTGTTTCCATAGGTTGTAGCTGTGTGAGCGTGATTGAATAGCATAGGTCGGCCAGCCTTCAAAACCAAGAACGCAGGTACGTTTTTCGTTCTTTCCTCCTCTCTTTTTCGTTCTTTCCTTCACTATTATAAGAACGGGCCGAACTGACTCCCTTTTTTGTCCTATTTTAAACGGCTGTACATTCAATTCCCCAATTGTCGCTTATACGAACGCAGGTACGTTCGTCTCTCTTTCATCTTTCCTTCACTATAACAAGGGGTCAAACTGACCCCCCCTACGCCTTTCATTCTTTCCTCCCCTGTTTTCCATTCTATTTTGACTATCAAAACTCTTTGTATAAATTTTAGGTCGCAGAATCCAATCCGCGATTGACTCCAATTTTAATTGGCTGTACAACTGATTTCGCGATTGACGTTCGCACCGCCGCAGGTACGTTCTAGTTTCTTTTTTAATTCTTTTCCTATTTGCGATCTTGTCTTCACTATAAATGGGGGGGGTGAGCTGACCCGTCTACTTTGGCCTTGCACGATTGATTTTGCGATTGAACCACTCACAAAGGCAGGTGCGTTTCTCTGACACCTTCCCTTTCTCATTCCAAACCTCCGACCAATGTAAAAAACTGACCCCTGATTGTGTTTTCATTCCAACAGACTTCCAACAGACTGAACATTTAAATCCGCAATCAGACGGCACACAAATCCCTGTACAACATCTATCGTTTCCGTCTCTCACATCCAACCTCTGATCACTATAGAAAGGCTCAATACTGACCCCGATTTTTTTGCTCAAATCTGACCTGTTGCACACCGTTTTTTTGCAATTGGACCCCACATACTACTGCCGATCAAGCAAGTCGAAGCCAAGGATTATGGATCCAAACGAAGAAGAGCTCTATCGGCCCACTTTTTTTGAGCTAGTTGCCCAAGGTGGGTCTGAAATCTGGAACATAACCCTGCTTTGACTCTCATCACTTTGGACTACTGGGATTGAGTAATATGTACTCCGGGATCTGCCCGGATGAATTTTGTCTGTTTTAATAACGTAACTGATTTAGAAATTGTGTAGATCAACTGCGAGAGCTCATAGGACCGGTCATCCGCTATATCACCTCAGTCTTTGCTCAGCGTTACCCAAGATACTTAATCAAGCTACTCAATCATCACGATGAAGTATTTGCGGCGATGATGTATTTTATAGAGAGATATTACCTGAAAAACTGGTGTAAATTCATTTGTCTACTCCCAGATCTTGGTTCATCACCTGTAACTCCTCTAATCCCATCAATCAATCCATTTCTCAAAATTGTTCAGGTGGATCTTTTGCAGAAAACTTCTACGGTTTGTCAAGGAGGAGGCATCGAATTGCAAAGCCGGTCAGCTTACCCGATTCCACTGTTGGGCCCCAGGCGGACCCTGGACGATTGGCACCACACGATGTTAGGTTATCCCTCATCTTTCTGGTGGGCCTTTGTTTTCCGTCTTCCGAGATCTGGACTCGATAATTGCATGGTGGCCTATCCTGATTCCATAATTGTTTAATGCTGTATGACTTAGGTGGCTATTCCATACTTGCGTGCAAAAGCGGCAGGGCTGCATGAAGCACTAGGGGGTGGCCCAGTAAATGACGACCTACTAGATGACGAGCCTGAAAGACCATCTCCCCTTTCGAACACAGATGATTCACGTATGGAACGAATAAAATCTACTACCCTCAACTGTTTTAAATCGAGCTATCCATATTTCATAGCAATGACTGAATTCAGTCACTTGATCTTTGGGTTACGTTACCTATTTGGAAAGAGTCCATATTGGAGAGCATCTCAGGCGTATACAGGAATCGAGATCAGAAGAACGAGTGCCCACGATCAGGTGAGTTACAAAGAGTTCAGAGTTGCTTGATAAAAATTAGTTCCTCAGCATTAAATCATTTGAACAATTCTTCAGGGTCGAATGCAACACAAGCTAGACAGTCAGAAAATATCACCGTTTGCTCGGGATTTAGCTACGGGACACAGACCTAATTGGCGATTGATTCTAAGACGATTCCAGAGCATGATCTCACATCGGTTCTTCGAATCATTGAAAGTTTTACTGCCGGGGTCAATCTTCTTTTTTAAGTTTCTTGAATGGTGGTATTCGTCATCCAACACCAGTCGCTATCGGCCATCGTTCTCAAACTCCAATGGGACTCAATTCCCAGCCATCCAACCCCCAGTTCCATTAAAACCTCAAGTCAAAGGTATTTTGGGAGATGGTACGGCCTTAACCAAACCAATCCCCAAGGGACATTGTCCAATCTGTCGGACAAAGTTGTCTAATCCAACAGCTGTTCCAAGTGGTTGGGTGTACTGCTATAAATGCATACATCCTTATGTGGTTGAGTATCAGCAGTGTCCTGTCACCCACTTTCCTACAAACTTGACTAATCTGCGAAAAATAATTGGTTAGTTAGGCCCATAGAATCTAAACAATGAAATAAATATGATAGGTCATGGACCATACCCCCAGTGAAGCCAGTCACCATTTTGGTTTGTTTGTCATCCAAAAAAGGTGGTATTTGCATGGTTGTACTCATTTCTTGCAGAAGAATTGATTGAAACTTGGATCAGTCAGATGAAAGGATTGGACTAACCATTGAATATTTCATGGAAGAAGTTGGGGAGATGGGAATACAAACTAGGTGTGAAAGACCCTATTGCCACACCCAGGGCCTGTAGAGCCCTGGGTGTGGCACCTGTTACCCATTTCTAGTGAGAGGGTAACAAGGTAACACCCCTGTAAAAAAAAGTTGCCAAATGACCTAAAAACACAGGGTTATGGTAAGGGTTACAGCACCTAACCCCAACCCTAACCCCAGGGTAACACTGGAGTTGAGTGATGAAAAACAGGAATTATAATTGAAGCTAGAACCAGAACTAAACAACAAATGAAAACAGACAAAATTAGGTTTTTGAAACAGTGATAGAAAAAGAAAAGGAATCAACAATTAATGACAAGAAATAAAGAAAAGGAAAATTTACCACGAGAGGATTTGTCTTTTGAATTAGACAGAACAGAAAGACTGAAATATATTAGATCAAACAGTGATATGTAGTAGACACTGTTTTTAGACAAGATTCAGAAAGAGAAATGAAAATGGTTAATGTTTTTTGTCAGAATAACAGAGTGAAAGTTGATCGAGTCTTTTCTCACCAAATTGGCAACAGCCAAATGAGAAATTCAAGAGAGAGTATCGGCGGAGCGAGGATGAGTGGTGGATGGAGAGATGTTGGGAAGAAATGAGTTTGTCGTCGATAAGATTGAGCGAGAAGGGATAAGAGCGAAAGAAGAAAAAGAGAGAGAGAAGAAAAGAAACAGAGTTGGAGAGCAAAGATGAGGGTAATGATGAAGATTTTTGAGAGAGTTATCGAAGATAGGCCGAGCAGTGAAGGCAAGGGGATTGGTCAGTAGTGGGGAGAGATGAGATCGGTCAGGAAACTGATGTCGAAGACTGCTTGAGAAAAGAGGAGAGCCGAGACGGGGAGAGGAGAGACCGTATTTATATTGATGCGAGACTGGGTTGACTTGTGGTTGAGATAGGTCTTGAGGAGTCGGTTGCGAGGCTTGCGAGGCTTTTTGGTGTGTTCGGTGGATACTGATATGAAACGAGTTGTTTGCATGGAGACTTGGAAGATTTGAGAAGGAGAGAGAAGGATGGATGTAAGAGAGTGGGAAGAGAAAGATAGCGGAGAGAGAGAAAGAGCGGAGATCGCGGGAGATAGAGAGCGGAGCGGACAAAGAAAGAGAGAGCGGAGCTGAAAAAGAAAAAAGGAAACAGAGTGAATCAAGAGATAGAGTTTGAGCACCAGGAACTGAGAGCGGAGAATTCCAACATTAAGGTGAACGGCAATACAATTTCATCTCTGTTGGCACAACCCAAAATATTTGACTTTTTTCACATTTTTAAAAGTTGGGTTGGCCCCCTTATACCTCAGAATAGTAGTTTACCTCCTTTGCAAGAGTAACCTAGGATAACAGAATCTTGCAGCTCCTTTACTAACCCTTCATGAAACTTACAAAAATTTCCACTTCCTTACTTTTCTTTTTTTGGTTTTCTTGCCCCTTGTTTTGATTGTATTGTATTGCCTTTTTTCTCCTCTACCCTTTCTCTCCTCTACCCTTTCTCTCCTCTACCCTTTCTCTCCTCCCATTTACTTGACTTTTCCTGGGAGTGTTCTTCCCTGTCTCAAACCACGTGGTTGCATCAGGACCACCTAACCATCTCAAGCACTGCTGAAACAAAAATTCAAACTTACTTGACTAATGGTACCTACCCCCCCCCTCAGTTAAAAAATGAAAAGCCACAGACCAACTTGAATAGCACATGTCCCCTCATTTTACTCTTCTTCTACATATCCTATGTTTTCCTTCATTTTCCTCTCTTTCCACTCATTTCTTCCACTTTTCATCACTTTTTGATTTAATGACTTTGTCATATCTTTTCTTTTCCTCTTGTGATGAAAAATATTGTCTTCCATTTCTCAATTTGTTGTGGTTTCCTTTGTGTTTCCTTTGGTTCTTCCTCATTCATTTTACAAGTTTGGTTATCTATGTACTATATCTTTCTAGCCACTTTATTTACATTCTATCCTTTCATATCCTTTCCTCCTATATATTTTTGCCTATATTATCTACTTCTTATCCTTCATTCCAATAAGTTTCTTGCCATTCTGATAATTTCTTTCCATTCCATTTCTTTGTTTAGATTTTATCCCCATCTCTTTTCCCTACAATAATTTATTTTCATCTCCTTTCTATTTTTTGTTTCCTTGCCTTCTCTCTTGATCTCTGGCCCGTCTGCTTTTCTTTTGATGAATCTCTTCCCTTTGATTTTCCATGATTTTGTTCTCCTCTTGCCATCCCTGATCAATCATATCCTTTTCTCCTTGGCTGTGTTTTCCATTCCTTCCCTCTCTGCCCCTTCATTTTTCAATTCCATTGCTTTTCTTTTCTTCAATAATTAGCTTCTGGTTTCCTTCTCCTTGCTTTTCCTCCTCTCACCTTCCCTTTCCTTAAACCCATATTTATATGGTTTAGGACTCAGATTGGTGTGCAGGCCTGCACGCCAACTGCAGGCCAATCTACCCTGCTGCAGATTGGCATGCGCACCTGCACGCCAATCTGCTTTGGCATTCAGTTTGGCGTGCACTTATCATTCCCCCCCTAACCCTTTGGACTTGTACTTTGAGGAAAAAAAGAATCAATGGTTATGAATAACTTTGAAAAATTATTTGGAGGTCTTCATGTGGGAAATGTCCAATGCAAAGTAGCTTAAAAAAAGGGGCTTGGAAAAACAACTTCTAAATTTTAGTCTACGACTCCCGTTAGTGGGTCAGCGGAGTTGCAATCTTCCTCTCAACAGTTGAATGGAAAATCCACAGTGAACATCTGATCTAACATCCATAATATCCCTGACTTCAGTGGTTGGATGATTGGTTGGGTGGGTGGGGAGTTGGTGTTGTTGGGGGAAGGTCATTGTGGGTGAGTGGATATGGGAGGAGGGAGGATATTGGTCAAGTTTGTGGGTATGCCGGTTTGGGGAGGCAACTCCTGTGTGGAAGAAGAAACAAGGTTTCTTCTCCAAAACCAACTGCTAGGGAATCAGGGATTGGTCAACAACTCCCGCAAGAAAAAAAAAAGCTGAGAACAAGGTTGTGACTCCCTTTTTGTCAGGCAACTTTAGCCTGATGACTCCCAGTCAAAAAAAAAAAAAGAAAACCCTAAAAAAATGACAATTGGGACCAAAGTCTCCCAAATATTAGGCGGACGACTCCCCCCCCCCCAAAAAAAAAAAAAAATTCAACGTGGGCGGACAACTCCCATAAAAAAAATTGAAATTGGTCCAACGACTCCCCGGACCAACCCCTGGGTCCAGAGTTGGTCCAGGAGTGGTCCACAGACGGTCCTCTTGACGTTGATCCACAAATGGGAGTCATCACCTAAGATTTAGGAGTTGTTTTTCCAAGCCCCTAAAAAAATTGGACTTTATTCTTTCCAACAAGACCATGTTTAAATTTTTAGTGCAAGAATTGAGACCCCCACATCAGATGATCAAAAAAAACCTTTGGCCGGATATTTGGAGGTCTTCCCGTGGGAAAGGTGTAATGCAAAGTGGCTTGAAAATAGATTGGACTTTACTCTTCCCAAAAATATCATTCTTCCAACACTGACACCAAAAATTATGACTCTGAAAAAAAAAGCAAAATATGAATAAAATGAACTTTGACCAGGTATTTAAAAGTGTTTCCATGGGAAAGTTAGAGTGAAAAGTAGCTTAAAAAAATACTTTGATTTTTCGCTTTCCAATGAGTTAATTTTTCATCATTTTAGTGCAAAAATTGCTAATTCACCATGTGGACCACAGTTGACCCTGGCCCACCCAAATTTTCACTCTTGCTATACTATATGGGGAGACACTCCTCCCCATACAACAGTACATCTGTGCCAGTGGGATTCAATGTAAGGCAACATACTTATATCTTATAAAAGTATTGTTGAACCCATATCATATTCATACAGATGGTTCTTTCATACAATCTAAAACTTTTGAAACTTTTAAGACTTTTTGAAGGATTAAAGCAGAACAAACATTATAAGGGTTAACTAATGATGGTTTTGGGTTAGGGATCAAGCAAAAGCAACATGGCTCCAAACCAGTCCACTCCATCAGTTGCAGCTGCTTTGGCTGGCTCTGACAATGAAGATGCCCAACTCGCTCATCTGGCCAGCCAAACTGGACTCACCAGACCAACTTCTACTCAGAAAACCAAACACCCCCCTTGAGTTGGTTCTTCAGATTCAGAATACGCCTCAACGTATGGTTCTGCGGATGATGAATGTGATGATGATGTTTGTTTGATTTTGTTTGGCAACAGCTCCTGCTCTTATGCAGGTCACTCACCCTGATCCTTTTTGGAACCCGGATGTGGTTGACTTTGAAAAGATTTACGAGGCGGCTCAAGAGGAGGAAGAGTCTCCAAATGAAAGTTGGACTTCATTTCTTGCCATGTTTACTCGCGCCAACAAAGACAATACATACATGTATACCGCGCACAAGTACCGACAGAAACAGGTCACCATGGCGTTTACTCGGTTGGATCAAATTATCCAAGATGCTATCAGTGCAGTCGGTAGCCAAGCAGATCCACCCACCGCCAGCTCAACAGACGGATCAAAACTCGAGGGCGTCTGAAAAGCATCATGCTTCATTTTCAACAAGGTCTCCAGTTACGGTGGTGCTTCGGACCCCAAGGATGAACCCAAGAAGCAAACAAATGTGGGCACCAACAAGGGACCACTCAACAACTTTATTCTCCGTTGGATCCACGAGATGCTCTTGGCTTTGTCAATGGCAATTGAACGCATGGAGGAGGAATATAAGCATGCGGGCGTCCTCAGCGGTAATGCGATCAAGAAAATAAAGGGCAAGCTTCAAGCAACGGCTATCTTTTGTCACGGCCCCCCAAACACCTCAAAAAAAACCTGGGCTCTTGCGCATTGGCTGGTTTCATGTGCTATGGTGTGGCTGGCTGGCTCCTCAGTCAGACTAATAATCGAAAGTATACAATGGCCGACACCTATGGGCTCTTAACCTTGGGCGATCAGGGGCTGAGGACCATCAAAGAATTCACGCCGACCCTAACCCACCCTCATCCTTTGGCTGGCGGCTCTTGGAGATGCCTCAACTGCCATATTATCTACAAGGTCCTTCACCGGTCATACATTAAGAGGGAAAATTCAGCTGATTGGTTCGCCGCGGCTGATCATTTTCTCCAGCAAAGGTTGGCGAAATCAAATTGGCCCACATAATGGAAAAACTCCAGAGGCCAACCTACTCGATTACTTCAAAAGGTGGTCCAGCTCTCCATCCTGTTCTTCCGGTTTCAGCCAATGAGACTCATGATGGACTCCTCAAGATCTTGGAGGAGCAGCTTCCTAACCTCTTGAATGCGCTTGTAGGTCTCCATTGCATAATATAGAATGGAGGCACCATGGAGCATCTCCCAAGCCCTTTTGACCACAAAATTGAGACCTTTGATGTGTGCCGTGTGCGACTGTTCTTTGGGATTGGCTGCATCGAGGGCAGTCACTTGGTCGGATAGCCATACTCCAACACGTCGTAAGGAGCCAGTTTCAAATTCTTGGGCTGAATTGCGCACGGTGGCCTCTGGTAACTCTCCCTCAGACGGTTTGAGAAGTTTGGCCGAGTCCATGACGAGCTGGTGCACCCGGCGCAAACCTTCTGACACTGTTTTTTTGAAGTCCCACTGGTGATGATGGCCTTTTTCAGTAGATCGGCACATCATCTGATGAAGTGCAGCCCATCCTCCCGCGCGTGTTTCACCTAGAATTTCGTCAACACCCAGTGTGAGTACATGCATTCGAACATGTTTATTGTTGAAGAAAGGATGCGGCCATGGCAGCTGAAACAAGCGTGGGCCTATGATGTGTAAAAGGTGTGTTGTTAGAAAGTGGCTGCATAGTAGATTCAGAGTGAGGCCAAGACTTACAGGAGTCGATGATATCCAGAAAACTCCTCTTGTGAATGTCTGGAGCATGTTCTGACCAAAGTTGAGAGGACGTGGCGAGTACAAATGGCAAGTTTGGGTTTTTGGGTGTTGCTTGGCTGGCTGTCTGATGTGTTCCTGATTTCAAGCGACAGTGGAGGCGATTGACGTTGATAATGTCCCCAAACATGGCAAACATGTGCACAGCAGCATCAGTCCCAGAGCTCTTGAGGTCTTCAAGAATGTCTTCCATTTCAGATCCCCTCTTCAATGATGTGGGCCGTATCAACCCTAAAGGAATGCCAATGTCAGTTATGTTGAGAGGCAGCTGTTCTACTAGAATTCTACTTACGGGTTAAATTTATTGGGCCCTCCAATATCTCAAGGTTGGACTCAGCCTCCGGATCAGTACCTTCTGGCGGGATTTCATCTGTGTTTGATGTTTTTTTGCGCTGTAAGACTCAAAAAGTGATTGTAAGATCCTTTTTGCTGAATGAAGAAAGGGATGAAATGAGCTGCAAACTCTGCCTTTCTATATTATCAGAAAACAAGACCACCAAGGTAAGCTTGGCAGTTTGGTTGGTGATAATGGATTATGTTCAAAGATGGTTGTATAATTGTTGAAAGTTGATCTTGTTGTCCAAAAAATTGATTGAGTTTTTGATGTTGTTTCTTGTCTTGATGTCTTGATCCTTGTGCTCTTCCTTGATGCTGTATATGTATAATGTAATAGAGGTGGTTCTTGAACCCAAAGGGTCTGGGAGCACTATGCTTCAACCAGGACTGGAACAAAGGACTGGCTCTTCTGTGTAATGTTTGTGAAATGAACTGTGTATATATTTCAATCTGTGAACTGTACTACTTGTGAACTTCTTGTGTAATAAATATATGTAATCTGTGACAGGTGTCCCACCAAAAATGTGTACTGAGTGGGATGAGGAGGAAAACAACTGGCAGGCAGAGGCCTCCTTATATAGTAAATTATGAGGGATTTTAGCCCCAAGGGACCTCCTGTATGAGGCATTTTAGCTGCCCTATCCTTGAAAATCCTGAGGGATTTTTGCTAGACTATCTACAACGCATTCCTTTTATATGTAAGCTGTAAGAAAGGAATTCATGTGTTCTGTGGCTGAATAAATGGGAATTTAACTGGTACAACTGGTGGCCAACTTGTGGTTCTGTAAGTATAAAAGGAATTCAATATGAATAAAAGGAATTCAATATGCAATATGCAATATACCCCCATGCAATATACCCTCCATCTGAGTGCCTCTGATCCTGTGATTCTCCGTGTGACATCCTTGATTCTGCGTAACTTCTGATCCAGTAGAGATATGAAGGTGGTTCCAGTGAGTGACTAGGGGTTAAATTGGCCGTAGATTCCATTTCTGACGTCCATTTGTCCGTATCTTGAGTCCTTCATTGATAAATAATAAAATTTTGAGTTTTTCTTCCTTCATAAACAGGAATAATGACCACATCCTCCCCCAACTTATTGACTGTCCCCAGTCAATTCTGATTTTATGACTGTGTTTGAAGGCTTAACCTTGTGTATTTTATATGGTAGAATTTAAATTTAGATGTTGTAATGATAATAATAAACTTTGATAATTTTTTATGTTTATTTTATTTGTCCAAAATTCCCTGGTTATGTTTGGTTGAGACTGGGAATTGAACATTGAGCCTTCTTGTTTCTTCAGAAATTTACTCCTTGGGTGAGAATTGAACCCAGTATTTGTAGTGTATAAATTTTCTTCAAGGATGGGATTGGAACCCATGTCCTTGGTGTTGAATTGTGAGGGGTGTTGGGTTTTTGCCTAGTTGGGGACTTGAACTGGGGTCCTCCTGGTTGACTCCAAATTTGAAGTTTTGAGTTGCCTGGGTGTGGTATTTCTTGCGCACCGTTCACAGAGCCTTTCACGGCCTTCAGTTTGAGTTGCTGCGCGCGCAGTAGTCTTGAGAGCCGTGCCATCCTGCCTTGCTCCGTCTCGGAGTCCTGTCACAGGCCTATCACGTCTTCTCCACCATATTCCAGGCTATCTGCACCGGCCCGGTAGAGGACATCCCTCCTTCAGCTCCTCTCTTCTAGTCTCTTCCCCACCTCAACTATCCACCTATCGACCGGTCTTTCCGACTACCTCCTCGACAACAAATCTTCTCCACGATCTTCTTGGCTATGGGATCCTTAAATTGGTAAGTCTTAATTCTCTGCTTCTCATTTTTTCCCCGCGCTAACAATTTTGCTTGTGTCTCCGCAGACTATTCCTTTATGAGCTCGCCGCGCTGCCATCTACATCACTGGTCCCGGCCTCTTCGATCTGCCCGCCTTCGACAATCTTCTACAACACTCTTCGTCGGCTTCTGCCCGGTAGTGTACTAACCATCCACTCCTCTCTCCTCCGTAATCAACCTATCAACCTATCAACCGCCTCTCGATCATCCACCCGGCTATCGGTCTCTCGATTGACGATCTCCCCGACTACCTTCCCGCTACGATATTGGTTTAGACTCCGCCGATTCTTCCATGAACCGGTCAATCCCCCTTCCATACTATTCACCTCTTCTTTTGACCTTCAGCCACTTCTTAAGCCACTTCAATCGCCCAGTCTACCCTTGGCTTGGTTGCTCCTCTACGACATCCGTTCTACAAACCGGCCCGGTAGTGTATTTCCAGTCCTTTATTCTTTTATCCAAGCTACTCCCTCTTTGGTCGACCCAAGCCTTCACATTCCCTTTCAAATCGACTCCCTTTGCTGGCTAATCCTGGCAGCTTTCGACTCGGTCTTTTATATTCTTATTTGCGCATCTTCCCCCAAAGGTAACCCGCATTCTTTTTTTCTTTATTATGCTTCACCGTTTCAGACCTCAGGGGGGTCAATGGGGTCCCCCAAGAAACACTCGACTTCGCCGCGACTTCCTCGTCTTCCAGCCTCCAGTATATAGAGACCGCCTCGACTTGTCCTCCTCGACTCCTTCCCCAGCTCTTCATCCAATCGCGACATCGGTCCCATCCAACTGTGAAACCATACTTCGAAAGCCTTTACTCTTGATCCCCTCCACTACCATGGTCACTACCCGCAGCTCAAAAGCTCAAGCAGTCAATGAAACTCCAGTCTGTCCTCCTCAGGTACGTTTCTGTCTTCCTCCATTTGTTATAAGCCTCTTCATTCGCCGATGACTGACCCTCTGCTTCTCCTTGTCATCTATACAGGCCCCCAATGGTGCCCCGGTTGCTCGTTCCGTAAGCCTTTTACTTCTATCTTTCCTCGCTCTCTTACCCAGCTGATGAAGGTTAAATCTATTGATGTTCTAGGGTTTTCAGGCCGTTCTTGCTGGCCCAGCCTCCTCGGCCTCTCCCGCCGAACTTCATGCAAATAGGTTCATGATTTCTGGCCCGGTTCGTCCCTTCACTCCGGTGAATTCTCCAGCGACAAAGGTTCCGGTTCCGGTACGTTGTCTTCTTCTTTCTTAACCGTATCTCGTTCTGTTTACTGACATCGTGGTCTGTTCTTTTACAGATACATCCATCGACTGTGGCCCCGGAGTCAAGTCGTGCCAAGGAGCATGTCGATCCTCATTTGGTAAGCTACAATTTTTTACTGTTATCACCTCTTCTCCGTACGTGATGCTGATCCAGCGCTATTTGTTTCTTTTTTCCCTTTCTTTAGGTTCAAGAGGGGATTAACTTTTATCCCCTCCAAAGCCGCTGGTCCCCAGCTTTTACCCCGTCGGGTGAAAGCATTCCTCCCGGGCTCAGAAGCCCCGACTTCGTCCATCCTAGCTCAAACGACGGGAGCTCCGGCTCCGAGTCCTCCAGTTCTGAAATCTCTGACGGTTTCAGCTCTGGATCCGAGTCTAACTCCAGCGCACCAACTTCCGGTCCTCCCTCCATTCCTCATTCATCGGCGTTTCCATCGCCATCCTCCTCGGATCTTCGTTCGGTCCCGCCCTCCGAGGTGTTCTATGCCACTCGACCCAGGCCCAGTCATCCAGTCGCCGGATCGGGTAACTCCTACGATGACCCAATGGTCATCGACGACGATGCCGCCGCCGATTCTGATCCAGAATCAGTTCCGTTCGGCCCCACCACCGAGTGGGGAAATGCCCAACCGGCTGCTCCTCAAATCGACACCGTCAATCCGGACCCATCAGCTCGCGAGATGATGGCCTTCGATTACCGCGCCATCCGGGACCAACTAGTCGGCTCCAATCCGTTGCCGTTTGGTACCCAAGTGTATCGAGAGGAAGACCTTCTCTTCCTTTTTCAGAATGTCGCCAACAATTTTATTCATTTATCTAACAAATACCCCGCCTCGACTCTCAGCGAAATCGAGGACCGTGTCCAATTTTTTCAGAATCTTCAATGGGTTTTTACGGCCGACCGTCAAGTTTTTCTGGCTACCCACTGCGGCTATCCCTAGGTAAGCAGTCCCTTCTTTCATCCTCCTTCTACCTACCCTTCTTCATCATGCTGACTTATATAAAAAAAACTTTTTTAGCTTTTTCTTTTTTATGAATATCCCCCAACTACTAGGCTATAAGTGCCTCCTCTTTTCTTCTTCTTTTCCCCATATATATATAAAATAGTAAAAAGAAAAAAAAAAACTTAAAAAACTTTTTAAAAGGAAAAAAACTTTTATTTATGTACTACTATCAGACTTTTTGTACATAGGCTTGTCTCAATGATAACTGGCTGACTTTTTGTGAGTTCATGCCA